ACCAGGCTTTTCTGGTGATTATAAACAAGACCTGTCAAACAGCAAATGTACTTTCATGTTGAGTCTAGCACAGTGAAGTAGACTGAGTTTCATAGCTATGGATGCAACCAGTGGGGTGCTGACTATACTGATAAATCATCAATTACCTCCCCTTAAGATCTAGGAGGTATAAAAATCACCCTGTTATATCCATCAGTAGACGAGTAGTCAGAGTAAAGTGCAATAAAGTTTGGGTATAAATTTATTCACTAGTTCTGTTTTTACTACACTGACATTGTATCACTGAGTGGGAGGTTTTCTAGGCTGAAGTTGACAGCCCGAGAAGAGGTTTCCCCTGATGTGTCTGTGACCAAGGTGACCCTTCAAGTTTGGAGGACATCGGCTGCAGTTTGATCTGGAGTGCGTTGGGCAATGCCAGGTTTACTTGCTAAGTGTGAATAAATACCTCCAGTGTTCAACCCAGATATGACAAGGGAACTGGTCAGCCTACACCAGGTCATGGGACTGATGACGACGATGATGATTTCTAAGGGCCAGGTACAACATACATTTGAGGAAGGCTGGAAAATTTAGGCTGAAACATGCTAATACCAACAAAAAAGGCAATATATTTGCTTTTAAGAACTTATTGCAAAAAATATTTTAAATAATTTTTATACAACTCTAAACTGTCAAAATCATATTTTTATTTCAAATCAGCATATTTTGATGTGATAATTAAGATAGGTATTAGGTTTGGTAATGTCTAAGAAGAATCAGAATTAATTAAATTAGTTTTAAACGCTAAAATCATAAGGCCTTCAAATGTGTCTTTCAGAAAATAAAATTAACTGATCATATATTTTTTAAAAATATATCCTGTATTATTATGATATAATATATCCTATACAATATACTGTTATAATATCGTTAAATATATCCTATACAAAATCCTATATTATTATAATATTCTTAAATATATCCTATACAAGTTGAATGTACCTACAGTTAATTCTGGCTTGCTATTTTAATATAATTGTAGAGGTTAAAATTGTATTCAACTACATACTAAAATTTAGAGTTACTAATGTCTCCTTAAATCTTGCACACATGTTACTTGAATGCTGTTATGTCTCCAACTAAGTATTTTTTTTTTTAGTAAAATCATTTTTGGCGGGAAATTGTGAGCTGCTGCTGCTGTTGCTATTTACAACGTCTTTTATATGATTTACTTTAGTAATAAAGAGATTATTATTATTTTAAAAGTTAGTATCAGAATACAGACGAAATATTGCCTATGTTGTTAGGATCTTCATCTTTTCTCATCCCAGATGAAATTTTCAGTCAAGATTTAATTTCATAGATAAATACTAAAACTTGGTCATAGTGCAATGCAAACAGTACTGACCTTATAGTGATTTTCTAAGCACAGCTTAGATATGGTACAAGGCTGAAAGTACGGGGCACCCAGTGAGGATCAAACTCATTACTCAGTTGTAAATGGTCTAGCAAGACAAGCTTTCTAACTATTACACCATATCGAGGTGCTCAAATAGTGATTTTCCAAGCGTAGCTCAGATGTGACACAAGGCCGAAAGTATATGAGGCACCCAGTGAGGATCGAACTCACTATTCAGTCGTAATTGTTCTAGCGAGACAAGCTTGCTAAACATTACACCACCTCGAAGTGCCCTCAGTGCTGACCTTATAAGACAATAATAGTGATTTTGTTCCTTGTTGAACGGTCAGTATAATATGGTTTTTGCCAAAAAATTGGTTAAGTTTAAGAATAAAGAACATAGATTGATCACTATTATAAGGCAATTTAATACCCAGAGAACCTGATTTTCCATAACAGTCAAAGTTTTTCTCTTGGACGGCATTCTCTATATTTAAATCTCATTTTAACATTGTCCATCTAACATGGAAGAATGATACAAGACTTCTATCAAACATAGATAACCTTCATTCAGTATCAATCTTTCCTTATTTTCCAAGATTTTTCAGTTGAATCACTTTTCTTAATATATTTTAAAAAATATAGGAAATTTCATATTTAAACTACTATTGGCATTATCCTTAACTTGGTATATTTAAATACTAAAAATGAAATAAATTTGCAGAGATAATAAATTTTGTTTCAAATTTAAAAATAAACTTTTTAAATCTTTTTTTTTTACTTTAAAAATTGCAGCTGTTATTTTGTTTTGTTTTGGGTGGGGGTGGGATTCAAAACTAAACTATTTTTTTTTAAATAATTTAAAAAAATAATTAAATAAAGGGGATTAGAATTTTTTCACAACAACTTAGATAATTCAATGTAGGCCTATCTGCTGAGAAAAAGATTATGAGTAAAATAATGTCACCATGTTGTCATTTTTGTGCTCAGCATCAATCAGATTAACCTCCCTTTATCAGTTTCTATGAGTTGGTTGTCAGCTTCTCTTAAAAAAATATATTTATGATTTTTTTTTTGCTTAAAGCCAAATCTTGTAAACACTAAAAAAAATTCCTATAAAACAGCTTTTATAATCTTAGGAACCAAGTAAATTTGGACTATTTTTACTATGAAAACAACAATAATAATAATAATAGTAATAATAAAGTGTGATTCCCAGGGATCTATCCAACAAGCAGCACCTCCTTCTTGCACTAAGCAGTATAAGGTCACATGCTGATAGATGTGACAACAATCTATAGAACCGCGTAATGTCTGAACAAGTTGACAATCTATAACACCACTTTGTATCATGTATATTAGTAGACTAATAACTCTATTATTACACTTGTATACATAAACTAAAAAAATAATTGAGTGACAAAGAAATATTTAAAATGTCTTTCAATACTAAGATGGATGGATATATAAAAAATTATAAATTTATTGTACACTGAAATAATGAAGTTGTTGTGAATTATTACAGGAATATCAAATTTTGGGGAAATTTTGTTAACTCTTACAGAAATATGGTTGGGCAAATTATTTTTCTTTCCTGCTTTTTATTTTCTAGTTAAAAAAAAAATGAAAAGAAAAGAAAAGAAAAAATTAAACTAAAATATAAAAGAAAAAGTTGTCTCTATTTGAAACCTCACCACTTTTTTTTTTTTTTTTTTACATATGAATTATAAGTTGGTTCACGGATTTTGACTATAATTTGAAAATATGGTTCATCTCATTTTATTTTATCTTTTTTACAATGAATAATTGCCAATATAAACAGGTGGAGTTTTTTTTAGATACATATAGTAAGTAAGATGTAGATTTCAAAACAATATTCTGACTGTAATATTATTTCAGTCTATATTGAATAATATTTAAGTTAAATATTATTAAATAATTTAACCTTTTCTAGATAGATAGGGATATTGGTTTCCATTTTCAGCAAATCCTCTCGACCATTAAGCAAACAATTTTTTTATTTTACAGTGCACCAAATGACAAAAAGAAGGAACTATACTTTTGAAATTCTGATGTATTTTTTGTGAAATTTAAAAAGTGATGTCAAGTTTTTAAATGTATGGCTTTGTATAGAACTTTTATCAGTAAATGTTGCTTTTTTTTAGTTTCTTTATTTACAAACAACAGTGTATTGCTGTTGTTATTTACTAAGCCTAGCTTAGTTTGGCACAAGGCCAGAAATCTGGGGCACCCAATGAGAATGGAACTCACTACTCAGTAGTAATGGTCAACCAGGCTTGATCACCAATCATTACCTGATGCCAAAGTGTTCACTGTGTGTTGGGTATTTTTTTTCCCCCCCATGAAGCTTTATTTACTTGATTTCCCCAACAGGTCAGGGTGTGACACCAGGTCTTTTTTATGTAGGGTGCCAATACACCCACATATACATATGGGCCAATTACAAAAATGGCCCAGTGTCATGCTGGCATGATATTTACACTGACCCCACCTCTCTTAGTGTAATGAGGAAGGTGATACCACATGTTTGGAATTCCCAGGACTGAGTGCCTTCTCTGATCTCAAATGAGAAGAGAACAGATACATTTTGATTGTTCCCAGCCAAAGGGTCTAGAATGCATGTACGATGCCACAAAATAAAGTGGTGGAGGTGCTAGCTGTGTGTGTGTGTGTGTGTGTGTGTGTGTGTGTGTGTGTGTGTTTGGGGGGGGGCGTCTAAGTGAGATGTTAAGTTTAAAAAAGATTATTTTTTTAATCTGATCCTCACATTAAAAAAAATTTTTTTTTTTCTTGATCTGTTATCCTATTGCAAACATTTTCTTTTATCTTAAATATACAACTATTTTTGTTGTTTGTTTGTACATATTTTCTGGAATGGGACCTGTAGACTTTTTATGCATGTAAGACTTTATAAAAAAAAAAAAATTCAGAAGTTAATATTTCAAAACAAAAAAAAAACGAACTTTTATTATTATTTATTTTGAGAATTAATGGCAGTAATAATTATAGACAAATGATACAGCCCAGTTTGATATTGTCATGGATTATGGTCAAGAAGACAAATTTAGTCTTCCGTTCCAGCAAAAAGGCAGGGTTGGGGATAAGCCAACCCCGATCCCCAGCCCCACCCTAAGCACAATGGATGAAATGAACATCCACGAAATAAGAAATATTTTAATTTAAGATATATTTCTGTTTAGTTTTTTTTTTTCTGTTCAGGTTTTGTCTCTTTTTTTGTTTTTTTTTTTTTTTTTTGCTTTTTCTTTTGTTTTATACAAAAAGTTCCCTCTAATTACCTTTTATATTTCACAACTGTAAATTACTTTTTTGCTTCTCACTTTCTAAGTCTAGGTTACTTTGAAAAAAAGAATTGTTGTATTGGTATTTTTAAAAAAATTCCTCTTTTTAATTTTTTAGTTTTCACTGACACATCCGAAAACCAACTTAAAACAAAGGAAAAGAAAACAAAACAATATATATATATGACTTGACCACCTACCATGAAATATATATATATATATATATATATATAACTTTTTTCATGGATAGATCGTTTGCCATAAAAGGGTGCTCATCGGCGTGTACTCCTTAATATTCTTACACGACGTCGGCTTCAGAAAGTTGTTCCGCACGGGTTTATGCGTCTTTTTGTGGTTCTGCAGTTTCTCCACCGTCGCAAATTGCCTGTTGCAGACGTCACAGCACAAATGCAATGCTGGTGGGGCAGGAACAGGTAGGAGCACGGCACCTCCCACCACAGGTGTGCCACCACCAGTGCCAGTGTTTTCAGCTACCATGGCGTTGTTGTTGTTGCTGTTGCTATTGTTGTTGGGGTTGTTGTTGTTGGGGTTGTTGTTCACCTGGTGAGTCATTTGGCGATGACTCTGTAGGGCGTCCCTCTTTTCAAACTGTTTCTGGCAAATCTCACAGTTATACGACGGCTTTTCACCCGTGTGCGTCCGCCTGTGTATCTGAAGCTTGTCCTTGCGCGCGAACTGCCTCGAACAGATCTCACAGTGGAACGGCTTTTCCCCAGTGTGGATTCGCCGGTGGATCTTGAGGTTGTCGCGCTGCGCAAACTGCTTCGGGCACAGGTCGCAGTGGAACGGCTTCTCGCCCGTGTGCGTCTTCTTGTGAATCTGCAGCCGGTCACGGCGTGCAAACTTCCTCGAGCAGATGTCGCAGTGGAATGGTTTTTCTCCTGTGTGAGTCCGCTCGTGGATCTGCAGCTTGTCCCGCTGGACAAACTGCTTCGAACAGTAGCTGCAGTGGAAGAGCTTCTCACCTGTGTGCGTCCTCCGATGCAGCTGCAGCTTGTCGCTTCTGGAGAACCGTTTCGGGCACATGTCACACGCGAACGGGCGTTCTCCCGTGTGTGTGCGCCTGTGTATGACCAGGTTGTCTCTCTGGGCGAAAGTTTTTGGGCAGTACTCACAGCCAAATGGTTTCTCCCCAGTGTGCGTACGCCTGTGAATCTGCAACTTATCGCCTCGAGCGAATCGCTTGGCACACATCTCGCAGTGGAACGGCTTCTCCCCAGTGTGTGTTCGCCTGTGGATCGTCAGGTTGTCGCGCTGCACAAAGTTTTTGGGACAGAACTCGCAACGGAATGGCTTCTCTCCTGTGTGTGTCCGGCGATGAATTTGCAACTTATCCCCGCGAGCAAAACGCTTGCAGCAAAGGTTGCAGGCGAATGGCCGTTCGCCTGTGTGGATCCGCGTGTGGATTTTGAGCTTCTCTCTCTGAACGAATTGCTTGTCACAGTAGCTGCAGTGATATGGCTTGATACCAGTGTGCGAGCTCTCGTGGATCTTCAACTTGTCCTTGCGAGAGAACTGTTTGGCACAAAACTCACAGCGAAACGGCTTCTCCCCAGTATGTGTGCGTTCATGGATCTGGAGTTTATCGCGGTGCACAAACCGCTTGTCACAGTAGTTGCAGTGGAACAGCTTCTCCCCAGTGTGGATGCGCTTGTGCATCTGCAGAGTGTTGCGTCTGGCAAACTGCTTTGGGCAGAGGTCGCAGTGGAACGGCTTTTCAATTGGCGGTGGTGGGGGAATATGGTGGTGGTGATGATGATGCTGCAGTTGCTGTGGTTGTTGCTGCTGTTGCTGCTGCTGCTGGTGTTGCTGAATTTTGGACGTAGTGGTTGCTTGTGGCGTTGTCTGTGGTTGGTTTGACATTATTTTATTGCTCATATGATGGATGGGGGGTTGTTTAGGGTAGATGCCATTACTGGTGCTACTGCCATTATTATTATTATTATTATTATTATTACTGCTGTTGTTGTTGTTGTTATTATTATTATTATCATTAACATTTGTGTTACCGCCATTTTCAGTATTGCCACTGCTTGCACTGGGGTTGCCGCTATTACTTGTACTTCCACTGGTGCTGTTATGACTGTTTATAGTACTATTAGTATTACTACTGCTATTGTTGTTATTATTACTACTAGTGTTATTATTAGTAGAATTATTATTGCTACTACCTAACCCCTGGCTTTTGTGGGGTAGGTACATGTTTGCCGGTGCTGGTTTGGGGACCTGGTAAATATGTTGCTGCGCGGCAGCCTGCTTTTCGATCGTCTGCAGTCGCTCTTGAGTCTGGAGATAGCAACGCTGCGAAAGTTGACTCATGTAGCTTGCACAGTGGAAGGACTTGTCATTGGCCGTGAGGAGGCCATGCGTCTGAAGATAGCAACGCTGAGCAAACTGGTTGCTGTAGATGTCTCCGCACCATGGCTTGTCAGTCATATGAGGGAAACGATGGGGCTGCCATGCATAGGGCTGAGGAAACTGTTTGGCATGCATGCTGGCTGCAGTGGCCACAGCAACACTGTTGCTGACGCTAATGCTGCTACTGCTGCTATGATGCAGTGTCCTCTCCACTGTGGACGTCTCCATGATTTTCATTGCCTTCCCAACGGAAGGTTTATCCATTTTTATTTATTTATTTTTGGTTTTTGGTTTCTTCCTAAAAGAAACAAATATATATATACATATATATATATATATATATATATATATATTCTCTGTGTATTTATCAGTCTTTCAGTAATCCAAAATCTAAATACATAAGCACACACATGTATTATATAACTAGTGGGGGTGTTATACTTATTACTTGGTACAATCGCAGGAACTCACTTGTGTGGCTTCTGCCAATCAAAATCCTAAATGTAGTCTTGTGACAACAGATTTTTTTTCTTAGTGTTGTTTTCTGAAGTGGACAATGCATATGTTAGAAAAATCTTCTAAATAGCATGTCTGCACTTAAAGTTTGTAAGTGACCATAGGTCTGTCTGTTCATAGACATTATCAACAAATATGAGCAATGGTATTGATTGGAAATAAGATGGCAGCCATCATTAAACCAGGGGAGGTCAGTATCTAAAATATAATAACTGAGTCTGATTTAAGACAAGTATCTGTGTGCAAATGCCTTCTGATTTAAAGAATAAGAAAATCGAGCTGTTTTTGAGTATATCCAAGATGGCTGTGCTTGCTAGGAAATGCTTTTTCATTGGAGAAGAAAATAAAAAACTGGTAGACAGTTGTGTTCAAGCTGATGTATCCTTTGAAGCAAGTTCCTTGTTTTTCTTTTATGAGGCAGAAAACTGATAATTCATTCAATAATCTGTGAAAAGGAGAAAAAAAAATGAAGCAAAGATGCCTCCTTCCAACTTGCAAATCTTCTTCTGTTGTAGATTTTTGGTACCTGAAAAATAAAGAATAAAAAATTGCTATAAGCTATGTAACTTTTCATATCATAGGAAATATTTAATAAATTTAATAAATGAATCTGTCAAAACTTTCATTCACTCTAATTATTAAATATATAGTGACACAGCAAATACTAAAAAATACTATAAAAATGTATTATAAATTGTTTTTAATATACAAATTCATTATTATTGGATTCTCAGTAGAAAATACATTGTAAATGATTTTACTCCTAGCTGTCTAAGTCAGCTGTAATATAATGGGTAGGATATCTATGAGATTAATATAGGAATGCATAACAATTATTTATTAAACAAATATGTCAAAACTTTCATTCACTCTAATGATTATGTATACAATTACATACCAAATCCTAAAAGCAAATATAGAAATTCATTGTAAATTATTTTGCTATAAAAGTATCCTTGCAAATTATTTACTATAGAAATGCATTACAATTATTAACACAGTGACTCCCAACCACAAGTTATCTTGCAGTTTTTATTATACTAACCACGAATTAATTCCTTTTTGTGGTTTTGCCATCAAGGCTACAACCACAAGTTTTTCGTTGGCTCTAATGCACATAATTTATATCTGACATCTAAGACAGCAATGAGTAATCATACTGGCAACTAAAAACAAACTTTTTATGGAAAAATTTATTGGAAATTATATAAACAAATGATTTGAAAAGCAACAAAAAATGTCCAATATTCAATCGAATTGGTGTTTGAATTCAAAGTTTGTAATTGACCTCTGGCAGTCAGTATGTTAAATATGTCAAAACTTTCATTTACTCTAATTTCATATATATATAGAAATACAACAAATGCAAAAAGCACTGACAGAAATTCATTGCAAATTATTTTACTATAAAAATACATTGCAAATTATTTACTATGGAAATGGATTTTCTTTTAGCACTGATTAAAGCCTTGAATACATTGCATACAATAGGGTGATAGGGGGCTTTCAGAAGGTTCTCCAGTGTTCTTTAAAACAGGGACTACAGAGGAGGATTTCCAACAAACTGGAAAGCATAAAACAGTAAAGCGCAGTAGTTGTAGAGGTTGGAGAGAACTGGAGTCAACTTGGGGGCACATTTCTTTAGGACAATGGCTGGGATCCTGTCACAATCGCTTGCCTTATGGGAGGCTAATTTAGAAATGATATGTGGGTTATGGAGTGATGGGATTATGCACACATCACTCAGTAGAGCCTCTGTTCTAGTGGGAAATTATTTTATAAATTTAGTTTTACTACATGATATATATGTGTGTTATATGTGGTGTCTGTATGTCTCTCTCTCTCTCTCTCTCTCTCTCTATATATATATATATATATATATATATATATATATATATATATATATATGTATATATTTATATAAATATATATATATATATATATATATATATATGTGTGTGTGTGTGTGTGTGATAACAAAATTAAATTTCACTTATCTGTCTTTACTTTGTTGTTAGATATATATATGTTCTTACTGTTTATTTTATATATATATATATATATATATATATATATATATATATATTTCAAAGAATTAATGGATTTTATTTTTAATCTGAAATATAAATATACATGCATATATATATATATATATATATATATATCCAAGTATAGGATTGGTGTAGATGGAATAAAATTCCAATAACCAAAAACACTATTCTTAAAAGAGAGCTCAATACAGCATCACTTGATAAGACATGAGAAGTGTTGAAACAAAATGGCTATTTTTGTATTGATTTTGTAACATATCTATCTTATAATTTCTAAATAAATTATATATATATATATATATATATATATATATATATTAAAAACAGTAGACATTTTGTATCCATTATTTTTAATGATTGAATTTTCCAAGTTATGAATAATCATTCTTAGACAAGGAAGAAATTCAGTCAAAAGTTGTTTAAAGTTTATTTTGGTAGAACAGCACAGGAAATATCATCCAAGTTTTCAGCTTTCTTATATTATCATCAGGATACGTGGAGACAATTGGTGGATTAACAAAAATAACCATCAATAAATATAAACAATTATAACTTAAGAGCTCACACACAACCTTAAATGTATATAAAAAAACAAAAAAATCTCATGTCACACTTTGCTTACATCACACTTTTTGCTTACATCACAGCACTCTTTGCTTACATCACAACATTCTTTAGTTCTATCACTTTAAATCCCAAAATGCACTTTCATTATATACTTCTAAGAAGTTTTTTTTTTCAAGTTAGTATTGTTACATCATTGTAAAATTTTACTAAAACCACCATACTAAATTTACTAAACTAAATGAAATACTAAATTATGAAAATGGCACATTAAATTATGAAAAGTGGTACAAACCCACCTTTTGACATTGAATATAAAAGGTTACAAAAACACACCAGTATATAGGAGTTGGTTATACATGTGTTATTGTTATCTAGTGGTCATCAATCCTTGGATCTAGTAGTGAAGCACAAATTCAGCAGGAACGAACAATAATTGATATCATAAGAATAAAATATCACAATAATCAACAGTCAATAAATGGACACCTGATGATAGCTGGAAGGTACTTGGTTGAAACATTGTGTTTATAATAAAATCTATATCAGCCAAGATGAGGACAATAGTTCGAAATGATACAAGAATATTGACAATTACTCATCCCATTGTGTTCTGTCAGTTTCATCTTTTCTCAAATATCATGAAAGCCAAAAGTACTCAGACATCAAGCAATTTACATTTATAGCTTCACTGGAATGCAGGGATTGGAGAAACTTGAAAATGTAGCACCTCAGATATATTTCCATAGAAATATTGATAGAGTAGCAATAGACTTGTGGTGTGTATGTGGGGGAGGAATTGTAGGGTGGAAAATGATTCATCCCCTACTAGTCACTTTCTCACTGTCATGGTATAGCTTCCTGCTGTCTTTTCTACAAATATTTTCATGGCAACTGCGCTGACGAGCATTTTTCCCTGATGCCCTGACTGCATGAATTTAAGCATACTACTAGATTGGCATCTAGGTCCCACCCTTTTACTGTTGAAATAGTTAAATGCAACCACCAAATCTACTCCAACAGTTTCTTTTCTTGCATTTCCTGTGGAACTCCCTTCTGTTTCCTTGCTTCCTTGATAACTACAATCTTCAAAAATTAAAATGCAAAATCAATCACCATCTTTTGTCTTCTTGAATCCTGTTCATCTTTTGTCCTTTCCTCAATCCTCCCTATACTCACTGTTTTCTATCCCTTTCACTCCCTCCTCCCCCTGCATACTAGTGGCATTTTTGCCTTGCTTGGGGTGAAATGATTAAAAAAAAAATGGCCATATAAATGCTTATGAATTCTGTCGAGGCTGAAAAGAGAGGATTGTGTAGATCCCAGATATGACAGAAATATTCCATTTTTGGTCGGATTTGAATTTTGTAACGATAAAAGCATAGCAGGTGGAGTCAGTTATTTTCTGGAGTTGTATAAGGAGCCCACTATTTTTCCAGTGTCTTTAGGGATGGATCATATGTATGAGGTCCACTTGAAGTCTGGGGTAAACTTGAACTAATCCCAACTTTTAAAATCAATAATTCAGTACCCAGTGAGGATTATAAGCCCTTGCAATGGATTTCAAAACAAGCTTACCTACCATTGTTCTATGCTAGGTATTTCTAGATTTGAATTAATAATAGCCATCAGGACAGGAACAATGGTATTGGGCTCTGAGGCTAGGGTCTGCTATGGGCTCCCAATGGGACCAAATGTATTGTTGAAAGGGGAAGTTAGATTTTTGCTCTCTTATTTAAGACTTAAATCTGGGTTCAGTTGGCAGAGTCTTAGACTATTCAAATGTCATTTAATTTTATATCTACTTTTATAGGTCTTTCAGTGTTCACAAGCTCAATGCAGGTTTTGGGTGCAGACATGTTTATTGAAATTGTTGATTAATTTTAAGTTTGCAGCTTGGGTCGAGAAATCAGAAAGCCACATTCAAATTCCAGTTGAGTTCATTACATTCACTTGGGAAAGGTATGAATCCAATTCTCCCCACCCCCCAGCTATGGATTAATA